ATTAAGCTAATTTATATATTTTTTTAAATGGTTTAAGAAATTTGCATATAAATGAACCTCTTTTTTTAGACCACGATAAATTGCAAGTTTAAATTGATTGAAAATCAAATCATGTTTTAATTTCAAATATAAAAATGTTCCATGTGATTTCAATATCCAATCTGTGATTTCATTACATGTTTTGAGCGAAAAATCTTCCAGCCATATGATTGAGTAAACATCCACATGAGCATAATGTATCATTTATTCCAATAGTTACAGTTGTTGTTTCTAGAAAATAACCATAATCTTGCTACACTTTAATAAATAACTATTTTTTTTTTTTATGTAAAATGATATTATAAAATTTTTTTTTACCTGTACAATTACTTTTTTACCTGTACAATTACTTTTTTACTTGTACAATTACTTTTTTACTTGTACAATTACTTTTTTACCTGTACAATTACCGGCATTACAATCCAAAAATTCAACAAAATTGCCCACGCATAAATTTCCACCATTTTGTGGAATGGGTGAATCACATAAGCGCCATCGTCGTTGTAGACCATGTCCACAATTAACAGAGCATATACTCCATGCGGACCAATCTCGCCAACCACCCTCAATTTGTCCTACTGAAATATTCTAATCCATAAAATATCTCATATATTCAATCAAGATAATTATTCTATATATTTAGCCAAGGATTTACCATATATATATTAAGCCAGGTTATCTATTCAATTAAATCATCCTACATATTCAGCCAAGACATTTACCCATATATATTTAGCCAAGGAATCTACAGATGTCTCATATAGTCATTGTAACATTTCTTATAACAATATCGATGTCTATGCTCTAAAATTCCAAATAAATCTCAGATTGTACCGAATATTTTTTCCAAAATAAGCCGAGATTGTTTGTTAGCATATATGCAATATTTCTTTGTCCTCTTATCCAGTCTCTGTTTAATTTTCTAATGTTTATCAATTATCAGTGCACATATCATTTATCAATACTATTAATAAAAAGCTTTACTGTGACAGTTTCCAGCTTCCTTATCATAACCATATTCCCTGATTAACTGTTAAATATCATCTTGGCTAATATGTGAACCGTTATCCAAGAGATTTATGGGAAAGTCTTTTTTTTTTTTCTTTTCCAAGATATCCCTCCTGTTGCTGAACTCTTAACCCACTCTCAAATAATAATAATAATTATTATTATCAAACTATTCATCTAGCAATGATGATTTCCCCTTAAAAGCATTGAATGGAAACAATGGAGCGTATAATTACTTCCGTGTCTATTGCTGGCCATATGTTCTTCTCAATCCTAACCTCACTCTTTTCTGTCCTAGGCCATGATGTACCATTGCATTTATTCCCTTTACCTCTTTTCAATTGAATATATCTTTTCCGAATCAATGAACATTCATCTTTTCCATGCTCCATTAAGTTACTCTAGCCTAATCTTATCGAGCCAGTTACTTATATATCAATTTACACAGGAACGAATAGTATTGTAATATTAACTGTTTATTGATAATAACTTCTAATCGATTAACTTTCCATCTATACTATCATGTAAAATAAATATCAATCCATTGAAGCATACGGTAGACCATAAAACAAAAAAAAAAATTTTTTTTCAAAACTTCAAACATTGTAATTCCCTAAGGTAATTAGTAGTAGCCAAGACAGAGATTTAAATGTCCAAACTATATTAATTACTTCAGTGCATTAATCAAATTTAACGATGCAAAAGAATTATTTCATTATTTCAATTTTTTTTTTAAAGATTTTAAAGATAGCTATATTTTTAGTTAATCGTTTTTCTTTTTTATTTTTTTTTTTTGCTTTTCAATCTTACTGCAACTCAAATTATTTGTATCTTTTTTTTTTTGATATGATAAGATGATAAAGTGAATATTTTGAAAAATGAAATTTTACAATTCAGTGACGTATAGATAAATAGGAATTGAATGAAAAGAGTGTAATAAATGAAATTTTCAAATAATAATTCAAATTTTATGAAATAAAATTAATTAATAAATCAGTCGGAATTCATTTTCCTCTTTGTTTGTTATCATAATCATAATGTGACATGCATTCAATTCAAGTATATTAGTACTTCAAATTTTCATATAATTATTAAGGAAACGAAAGCAGGACTGCTTGACCAATTTAGCCGGAATAATTCACTTATTTTTAGTCACGCTATCCATCATCATCATTTATAATTATTTGCTATATTAGTGCTTCAGCACTTATTCGGAAATAAACCATCCCTCAAATCTTTCTTTCATTTTGCTGCAAAAGATATGCATACTTCATCAAATTAAAATTTAAAATAGTTTAAATTCTCAAATTTTAAATTATACCACAATAATATAATCCTGAAATTTGCATATTTTTAGTTACAGGAATAAAACTGATCAATTCTTAAATTGGGGATGGAATCGTTTTGAATTTTTCTTTTTTTTTCTCACTGCAAAATTTCACCTTTCTGATATGCCAATGTTTTCGCATTTTTTTGTAATAGCTTTTAAATCTTAGCAATAATATCGAATAGTTTGATCGATTACTAATTACTAACTTATATGTAAATTAACCTATTTAAAATCTCATTTTTATCTTCCGATACATTTGTGTAATATTTGCAAATAACATACAGGAGATGATGAAACATTTAAAATAATTCAAAATTATCAGAAAATATTTTAGTTTGTAAAATTTTCGCTGCGAAATGCTCAAAATATAATAAAAATTTGTTAATTAAATTGCCACTACTTTACATACTTTTTATGGATTATCGAATAATATTAGATAAGACAAAATATGAAATGAAATACTATTTGAAACATTTGAAATATTCATTAAATTTTAATAATTCATTAAACGATAAATTGTAAAATGAAAATGTAAAAGCAATAGCATATGGGCAAGAAAATGTGTAAACAATTGCTTCATTTTAATTAAGTTGCTATTGAATGTAACTAATGAAGCTTATATATATATACCGATACTGCTCGATATCTGAAGGATAACCGGAAATTCGATGGACAATACAGAAAATAAAATGATAGCTAGTAATAACTATACAATAAACAATAAGGTTAATCTTTGAAACGTAACGAATAACTCTGAATGGATTAAATACAGTTATACCTAAATGATACTTAAGTCATACTTAGGTCATAAACAATACTGCTCAATAATTCATTGATAAAATCATTGGAGACAGTGATGCGTATAAGATTAATTATCAAAATTTGCAAAGAAGATAAGACAAAATATGAAATGAAATACTATTTGAAGCATTTGAAATATTCATATAGTTTACGATATTTCAGTTAAGAAATTCAAAAAAAAAAAGAAATTAAAATTTAAAAACTAACAATTTTCAGTGTAGACGCATTGTTGTGCCCATTCATTGAAACGTGCGGTAAATTTTTGCACTGATACAATTTCAAAACAAAATTGCGCATAAATGATATCAAACTGATAACATGGTAATTCGAGTGCTTGTTGTGATAACTCTTAAAAAATCAAATGAACCAATCTTTTCTATTTTTTAACATATTTTTAGGATAGTAATCGATTGTGATGAAATATCCTTTTAATTTCTTTATCATTTATAATTTCAAGCAAATGGCCTAAAAATTTTGGAAAGAAAAAAAAAATTGTAAATTTTTAAATCCCTAATGCTCTAAGGGATGGAATGAAGGAAATGTTTTTGTAAAAATTTATATAAGTTTAAAAATTTTTTGAAATTGAATTTTTTGAATGTTTTTTTTTTGTCTAGTTGAAAAAGCAAATGATTTTTTAAGCGTACAATACATGTATCTTCTACTGATAACTGATAATCTAATCAAACTCGAATCATATTCTTACAAGAAAGCTCATCAAATGTTTTATATAATTTAACTTCTGTTTTAAAAAAACTGATAGTTTCAATGATAAGCTGTGAAAATTGTGAAAATTATGATAATTTCGGTGATAAACTGAGATAATTTTAATGATAAAAATTAATATTGAAGAGATAACATTTCCATAAATTTCTTTTTCTTTTTTTCTGTTAATGGAAATTAAGCATAATGTAGTATATATTTAATTAACAATGCATAGCAAAAGGGTCAAAGATTGAAAAGTTGATGTTAGAGAAGAGGTCAGATGAATAAATTGACCATTGCTATGTGAGAAGGCTTATAGTCGTTGACCGTTTCTTATTTGCTTACCGATAATATACAGAGATTTAATTGAATGAAAGGAAACGAATTTAGTAAAGGTATATTTTATTACTTTAGGTGACAAGCAAATTTGAAGTTTAGTCATTTTTTATTGAGAAATTTTTCGAATGTATGCTACCTTTTCTTGTCTAATAGTTAATGTCTCATTCTGATCGAAAGTGATAAATGTCACCTTTTATGGGTTTTATTTGTTGGAAATCAATATTTTAGGAGAGATTAATCGCTAAATTGTCATTGAGTGAAGAGTTCTTTGTAGACTTCCTGTCTTTTGTCAATTTGCGCTAGGTGAAATTCAAATCATAGCTATTGTATCTATTTAATCTTTGATGTCACAAATACTTGCAATATGGTTGCATGACCAATTTTCCGGTCTGATTTCCGGTAAGACTAAATTTTGCATATAAAATTGAATAAGTCCATCTCTAATTGTCCGTAAAAACGAAACAAAAATGGAAGAGAATGAAGAGAAATGATTTTCTTTGTTAAAATTTTAAAAATCAATTTAATGCTGCTTAATTCGCAAAAATGCTAACCGATATCATATTCTTCCATATAGTATGATTGCTCGAAATTGGAACCTTCCGGAACAGCAAAAACACGCATTTTAAATTCTAAATCCTGAATTGAACATGATAAATTAGTCCATGTTATTCTCAGATAATCCAAACAACGAGGAAAGATATACGGTCTTGGTAGGCTTATTGAAATTTCATTTGTTTGCTCCAGCTTAATCGGTTTAATTATCTGTAATAAGAAAAAATAAAATTCGACGAGTAATTTGAAAAAAAAAAATTTTTATAATTGGATTGAATAATTTTTTCGGAATATGAATTAACATAAAATAAGTAAAGATATTTAAGAGAGAAAAAATAAAAAAAAAGTTTTTATTATTTCATTTCAAATTTCCGATGGGAAATGCAATGGTATGGTATGATTCAAGGCTAGACAGATAGAATTAAAATTCGATTTAACCATACTGTAAGATTACCGTAATCACTGGAAATTGAATAGTTAAACATTAGAAATTGAATGGTTTTTTTTTTTTTTTTTTGTAAAATATCATTTTTCTTTTCTTTTTGAGGACAGCATAAATGCCTATGTATGTGTCCATCTGTGACTTATTTCACTTATGATGAAGTATCTATTCAAGTGCAAAAGAGAAATTTTAAGAAGAGAAAGTTTTTAATCAGCTAAGGAATGATCACCGTACATTTTAGTACTGATGAGGAAAAAAAACGTATTACATCCGGATAATCGATTTTCAATTCCGGAAAAAGACATAGCCTCAAGTTGATAAGGAACAATTATAACATTAATGAAAAATGAACCGGAAATTTAGTACCAAAGTATTTTTGTTTACAGTTAATGATCAGAAATGTAAAATGATCGAAATACTATTTTAGATTTTAACCAATAGACTAATAAACGTAAGATGAGTAGTAAAATAAGTATCGTATTTTCATTGGCCAAATTTTGGCTAAGTCAAATATCAAACAGGTTGACAAAGTTTTATGATACATTTACAAATAAGTTTAGACAGATTACAGTAATTAAATTGTATTTCGATTTTTTAATTATTTTGAAAATGTATAATTAATTAAAAAATTAATTAATTTAAAAAGTTAATGACTGAGAAAGTAATCACGCTAACCTGTACTATCCATCCATCATTCATTATGATAATTCTATAAATTCCTGGAAAACATAAATGATAGCAGGGGAATATTACTTTTTTTATCAGTGGCATTTTAGTTAC